CGCTGTCCGCTCCGCCCTGCTGCCGCGTCCCGCGGGACAAAAGCGGCTTTGGCTTCAGCGTGTCGGCTCCAGAAGGTAAAGAGAGCAGCAGGATGAGCTGTGAGCTTCCTGAGACAGTGCACCGCTCACCCCAGCCCTTCTCCTCTCCTCCCTGCAAGGTGTGAAGGGCACCTTCCAGCTCTCGGTGCAGCAGGGTGGGCCAGCGGAGCGCGCGGGGGTCCCCCCAGGCTCCTGGCTCCTGGAGCTGAACGGGGCCAGCGTGAGGAGCTACTCGCACGGGCAGCTGGCCAGGAAGGTACTGGGGTTCCTGGCACAGGGGGTTTGGGGGCCAGAGCCAGCAGCACTGCTGAGCACCCTGCGTTCCCCTCCCAGCTGAAGCAGAGCGGTGGCAAGGTGACCCTGCTGGTGGCATCCAGCTCGGTGGAGGAGTTCTACCGCCTGCGAGGGCTGCGGGTCACGGCCGCCTGGGCAGACACCTCCTGGCTGCCCTTCAAGGCCCGGGAGCTGCACATGGTGAAGGGGCCAGATGGCTACGGGTTCCTGCTCAAGGAGGGTGACTGCAGCTCAGGGGCCACAGGTGAGGGGGCTGAGGGGGGTGGCTGTACCCGGGCAAGGCACGTCCGAGGGCTCGGAACGGCTGCGAGCCCCCTGCCCACGGAGGGACCTTGTCCTCACCTGCACATGGGGGTCAGGAGTGAGAGTTCTGCCCTGGCTGAGTGTCTCCTCACCTCTGTCCCACCGTGGCAGGGCAGTTCCTGTGGGATGTGGACGCAGGGCTGCCAGCCGAGCGGGCAGGGATGAGGGAAGGGGACCGTCTGCTGGCTGTGAATGGTGAGAGCATCGAGGGGCTGGACCACCACCAGACGGTGCTCAGGATCCGTGCCCACCATGACCGGGTGACCCTGCTGGTCATCGACCCCCTTGGTGATGAGTTCTACCAGTCGGTAGGTTTTGGGGGACCCAGCATGATCCTGCCCTGGCTGGGGAGCCCTGGGGTGCTGCAAGGCTGGATGATGGGATGGGTGTCATGCTCACAGACCTACACAGTTGGGTCCTCACTAGGGGAAGCTGGCTTGCCATGGAGCAATGGGAGCTGTAGAGCTCTTCCTCTTCTGCTCTTCCAGATTGGGCTGTCCCCTCTGCTGTCCTTTGAGAACAGTGACCCTGCCTCAGGCTCCCACACACCCCTCCTGCCCTCTCCCAGTGGCTCCCCTGGACTCTGTCACGTTGAGGTGGGACCAAAGGGACCTGGCTCCTGGCTGGTGGCTGCTTCCAACAGTATAACAATCACAGAGGTAACCTCTCTCACCAGGTTCTCATGGCAATGCTGCTCTGAGTCCTGGCACCCTCCTGCCCTGCTCCTCCTAATATTTCCCTGGCTCTTGTGCTGCTGGCAGGAGGGGGCTGTGTGGTCCCCTGGCAGGAAGGCTGCTCCAACCTGCCCACGGGGCGTGGTGGGGTGGGTGGATGTGTGCTGCTCACAGTGCTCCTGCTGTGTCCCCACAGAGCCCACGCCAGCAGGAGAGGAGGAGGCTGCACCAGGCCTTCTAGCAGCCCAGGAGCTCCCTGCCTCCAGCCAAGCTCCCCCACACAGCACCTTGCCCCCAGCCACCCCCAGCCCATGGGTGCCCCCCGCCCGACTCTCCGGAGGGCACAGTGCTGCTCAGCGTGGCTGTGCTGAGGTGCCCACGGTGGGGCTCACAGCACCACACCTCCCAGAGCCTCAGCTCCACTGGCCAAGGCTGGCTCCAAGATTTTCTCAACCGTGGTGGTGGCTTCCTGAAGACAGACTTGTGTCACTGCCTGCTCAGCTGCCTCCAGGGGTATCTAGGAACACTGCACTGAAGCCCTTGCCCAGCTCCTGGCTCTGGGAGCTCCCAGGAGAGACAAGACACTGCCCACCACACCATGACCAAGAGGATTGGGAAGCCTGAGGCTTGGCTCAGCCCAGGGCTGGCCACTTGGCTGCTGCATGAAGAGGGAAGGGAGCAGCAGAGACTGACAAGATGCTGGAGGAACAAACCCCCCACACACCTCTCAACTTGTTTGCTCAGGTCCCTGCATGGACATTCCTCCTGTGCTCCTCCTCGTGAACCTGTGGGCAGTGAGTATCCACCACCCATCACAGCACTGTTCCTGCATCACACATTTGGGGTGTGATTAAAGGACAAATCCACGTTGATGTTCATGTGGGTCATGCTGTGGAGAGGACTGTGGCTCAGCAGTGCACCCCTCAGCCAGATAGGACCCATCTTCTCTATTAGCCTGGGGCAGCTGGGGTATTGGGCAGTGCTGTCAGCTGCTGCTGTGCTGATGGCACAGGGCAAATGCCTCCCATCTCCTCTCATTCTCCCCAAGTGCACTTTTCTGCCCCATCCTCACCCACCAGGGCAGAGCAGACAAGCTGGGGGCTGTACTGAGCTGCTTCTGCAGGCTCTTCACCTCCACCTCCAAGCACTGGCTGTGGGCTGCTCTCTGCTTCTGCAGCTCCTGGTATTGCTGGGTGATTTCTGGGAGCCAGGGAAAGGAGAAGGGGACAAACGTGGTGGCTGTAAGAGGGTCAAGCAGGTGGTCCCTGTGCTGAGACCCCAAGGCCTGACCTGAGGGCTCCCCTTGCAGGGTGGCACATGAGAATCACCCTCTCCCTGCCTGGCAGGGCTGTGACACTGCCAGGGGAGGAGGGGGCAGGAGGGAGCCCCAGAGGACAGGTTTTACCTCTCTGTTGAGCGTGGGAGAGTGAAAACGAGCAGGGAGTTTTGCATGTGGGAAAGACCACAAACCTCTGCCTGAGGTTTTACCTCTGTCAGAGTCAGCCCCCTCTTGAGCACTAAGGGAAATGACCAGGCCATGACTTTTGCAGGCAGGGAAATCTCTGGCATAAAGGGTTCAGTGAGTCCATGCCCAGAGCCTCTGCATGCAGCCAGCAGGGGAGGGAGCAGGGCTAGCCAACAGCAGGGTGGTGTGGGACTGAGTGCTCAGGTCCCAAGGGAAAGGTAGGCTAAGCTTGGCTGCCTTCCCCCAGAGGCACCGAGGTGTGAGGTCCCTGCATCTGCCCCACTGCTCCCTCCCACCTCTGCCTTCATCTTCAGGAATGTCTCTCTTGTCTTCCCGTGCCTGCCCCGCTGTCTTCTCCAAGTGCCACAGCCTCCTCTTGAGCCTGCCAGGTCATTTCCCCCCAGGGAACTGCAACCAGAGACACACAGGACTGCCAAGGGGACAACAGGCTTCCTGACAGGCCACCTGCACCACGACCCTGGCCTGAGCATGGGCAGTCAAGGGGCACCATCCAAATTGTACTGCGTGGCTATCCTCTGCCCAGTGCCTCCTTGGTACCTTGGCCAAGCAGAGACTTGGTCTTCTTCTGCCCCCAACACCAGGGGCATGTGGACATCTCCTCAGCCCATGCCTGGCCACAAGCTCTGCCTGAACTCATGGCAAGAAATCTTTCATTTCAGCCCAGCTCTGTGCTAGGAAAGCATTTCCAGGGGAGAGCCTCACCACAGCATCCCTACCACCTCCCATCTGCTTTCACCATTGCTCCTCCCTTCCTCTGCCATAGAATCATAGAATCCTTTAG